TCCATTGATGCAATCCTGAGTGCTGGTAAGATTAAATTATTAATTTTGCCACTTTTTAAAAAAATGACTTAATTAAATTCTGTTTATATTAAAGTTATTCTGATTCGAAAAAAAAATCGTCAAGATAATGATTTCCGAAATAAATGTTTAATCAATTAAGCATTAATAAGAACAATATCAGGATTACATGAAAAACTGCTGTACAAGAATTTTTAAAGTAAGAAAAAACAAATGGGATGGGTGATATGTATGAAGTGCCACTAGGGGCAGAACCTATAATAATTTGGAATCCTTTCCACCCACATGCAGATTTTGGTACCAACGTCTTTTTGAAACGTTACCAACTTCGGCTCAAAGTGATTAGCAAGTCTTAAATTTCATAAGAAGCTATATAAGGTATTTTACAGCACATTTCCTCTCCAGAGAAAGAAGTAAATACAATAGTTGAGTTGAGCAGTTGTGTTTCATGTGTTGATACTATTCCAAAGCAGTTGTGACTGTTTCATGTGTTGTCCCTATTTTAGAGTAGTTGTGACTGTTTCATGTGTTGTCACTATTCCAGAGCTTTTATGTGTGTCTCATGTGCAGCCACTCTTTCAGGGTAATTGTGACTGTTTTATATGATGTCACTATTCCAGAAAAGTATTTTGAAGTCGTAATTTTTAATACCCAAATTGGACTATTTAAATGAGATCAAGTAAAAAAAAAATGAGCCTTTGAAAGTTTGAGAACTGAAGAAGCCTTGAAAAAACTACATCCTACTTAAAAATTAAACATTTTTATAATTTGAAATTGCAACACCTGAGTAGCCCTAGAACTGTGCAGGTCTTATTAACTATCTACCCTTGTTCATAAGAGAGACACTTCCAGTGTGTACTGATAAAACAGGATTTACATATTTGCTGGTTTCTATGACCCTCCCCCAAAAAGGGGCATCAAGACAATCTCTCAAGTAATTACTGGTCATGTGATATTGAGACATAAGACATTCCAGAGAGAAGAAAAGCTATGATTGAACAATGTGGTATAAGTTGAGAGAGAAGTCAGTTAACAGATTGGTCCAAGAAGACTGGCTTCTTGAGCACTGAAGTCAGCTAACAGATTGGCCCAAGAAGGCTGGGAGTGTGTCCTGATCACTGACTTCCTACTCACTTTTCAAGAAATATATACAAATTTAAAAAAAAAAATTAAGGCTTCATTCATTGTCACACATACCACCTGTGCACCACTGGTACAATAGGACACACTCTGGCAGACTATTGAAAACCAAATACAATAGAGGTACTCAGACTGCTCTATCCTGGTTTGTAAGTGATCATCTTAAGGTGGAAAAAAGTGATCTTCAATGGTGGAAAAAAGTGCTTCCTAATTTGTATAAAATGCAGTGCCCATTCTGCTTCACCAGAGCACATGCTGGACTGACTTGGCCACCCAGAATCTGTCATCGGATCTCCTGACTGAATGAACTTTAACAACCGTATGAAATATATCTGACTACATCCGATTTCGAGAATTAGTCACACAACCAGTCAGCTAAAGACAGTTTGCACAAGCAACTTATGATGTGCTAGCATAGCAAACATGAAACAATAGTTTGACCTATTATCATATTATAATACCAACAGTTAACAGATTTTACTATTTCTTTTTAGACCGAGAGAAAAATATTGACTTTTCAGTCTGTCGATGGCGAAGCTTTTAACTTACAATGACTTAAAATATGACCAAAACATTAAACAAATTTAAGAAATCTCCCTAAAAAAAGGGCAGGGTGCCTTTTCAGAAACAAGGGCACTAATTTTTCTAAATATATTAATTATATCTAATTAGATAAGTGTCCTTCAAATTGGAATTAAAAACACTCAAACAGATATGAGAAATAATAATATTTTGTATTAACTTAGCCTAAACATAATTTGTAGTGGCAACCTGAAGTTCTGTTACCACAATCTCAACTATTAATAATTACAACAGAAAAATAATACCCAGTGTAATGTTTTTAATACTTTTATATTCCATACGTAACACTAATTTTAACAGAACCCTGCTTAAATAAAGAGGGCGGAAGAAAAGGCAATAAAAAGCCACACTTTTTTCAAATGTGATCTTTAAACATCAAAGTGCTCAATATTGTTTCCAGATGGGTGTTATAAGTTTCTAATATTACCACTAGATAACAATGTAATACACAAAAATATCTTATGGCACCAAAACTGCTCTACTGAACAATTTGAAACTGTAGCTTCTCATAGTCACTAAGTATTACATATATAGCATTATATTTGCTGTACCTTTTATTGAAGAAAGCTTTATAAATTTTTTTTTATTAATATAGTGACTGAGAAGTGCTTAGAGTTAAATTTTCCTTTATCTCATATTCCAATGAGCCAATTAAAAAGTAATATACATTTTTTTATTATTCGGAAAACTGTTCTAGCTGATTTGATTAAAAATTGGCTGGTTAAAAGATCATAACTCAATTACATATTATTTAAACTCTTAATTACATGTTATTACCAAGCATATTAGTGATTACTGATGCTTTTAAAACAAATTAAGGGTGGTCGAACACAGCATTGAGCTTGACATTACAAACATGTCAGTGTTTAATGATACTTTTAAGATAAATTAAAACTATAATAATAAGAAAGACTCTACAGCTACATGGATGGAAAAAAATTTAAGCAAAAGTAAATAATAAGTAGATAAATTAAACATAAGCATTATGTAAAGGATTTGAATTTAATATAATTATAATTAAACTGTTTGTCACACATCAAAATAACAAAAAAAATTATAGAATATCTTATCGTTTAAAAAATGCTAATTTATAGAAAATCCAAGCATAAACATCTCATACTTATATAGTCTTACTTGACAAATACTTAACTTTATTTTAAACACTGGAAATATTCATGTCTTTCTACCCTGTTCAATTCTAAACAAACTCTCTTTATGACTATAATCTGCATTTTCAGTTAACAGAAATAAAGTTTTAGCACCAAAATTTGATTACAAACATTTTAGCTAAACATTGATAAATTTTTAAATTAACAATGAGTTAAATTATATATGCAAGTTGTTAAACATTTATGAATGCAAAACAAATTGGGAACAAAATAATGACAGAAAAAGTCTACCTAACCTTAAGCTTTTTGTTATAAAATCTATTGCATTAAAATATATGTTAGTTTTTATAAAACTATGAACACCTACAAAATAAGTAAACAAAATAGTGAACGGAAATAATAACATAAATTCAAGCTTTTTGTTTTTATTGTTATAAAATTACTGCACTAAGACATATGTTAGTTTTTATAAAATTATGAATGTAAACAAAATTTACTGCTCTATAATATATCCTTGTTGTTAAAAAAATTATGTATACAAAATAAATAGAGAAAAAAATAGAAGAAAACATAACTTCAAGCTTTGTGCTTTAATTATTATAAATTTTACTGCACTAAAATATATGTTGGTTTTCAAACAAAAATGAACATTTACAAAATAAGTAGAGAAGAAAATAGAGACAGAAAAAGATAACATAATCTCAAGCTTTTTGCTTCAATTACTTTAAAATTAACTAAATTATAATTAATAGATAAAAAAAAATATAAAAAGCAGTTTATGAAGATGAAAAAGTTGTATCATTTAACTGATTTTATTATCATTTAAAAATCTTATTACACTCGACCTAGGCAGCAAAAATTTTTTAAAAAAATTATAAATATTCGTTATTATTATTTATTGTATTTCTTCATGTTACATATTTAAAACATATTCATTAAAGAAATCTTGAAATACTTCGGAAGAAACTCCATAAGACACTAGAAATTAAATAAAATCAATATTTTCCCCCCTTTGATCATAACTTGTATAATAAATATCAAAATTTATAATAAATAAATAAATAAACGGAAAAACATGAATGAAAAAAAATAATATCTTTTTCTAAAATAAATTTTTTTTTAACGAATCGAATTTCACGTATATTTGTTTTCCTTCTACAACTTTACGGAAATAATAACATACAAATCCTATGTTTTTTATTCGTTTATTTACATCGAATGAAAAAAATATATATCCCTTTGCATCAAACACTTATCTTGTCCAATCAGAGGGCTTGTAGTATTTCAGCAGAACCGGACCACGTGAGTGGAATAACAATTCACAAAATTCAAATAATTTGTTTACTAAAGACAACAACATCAAAATCAAGATACAAATAATACAACAATCAGCCTAAAACTTCTTAGCAATAAACTTTAAAATTAGCCATAGAGTTTTTAAAAAAAAATACATTTATTCTATTCACAATACGATGTACACATAAAAACACATGTCACAATCCCGCCAGTTGAAAAAAAAAAAAAAAATCGCAGTCAATATTCGCTCATGTACGATCAAAAGAATCTTACTTTACTCTCCCGCAAATAGTAAATTTTTAAGTACATTTATATCCTTACAATGCATACAAAAAAGTGATAAAATTTTATGAAAAGGAAACTTTAGCCGAAACCTGAATAAATTATGCTAAGTAAGTTATGAATATGTAAAAATTTGCCGCTCACCTGTCCTGAGATCAGGCACTGATTTACTGTCCGCCATCTTGAATAATCTGCTCTGAAATTGAGAGCCGGAAGTTGACGGAAATACTAGATTGATTAGCATCTATAATCAGAAAATTCTAATTTTAAAAACAAATTTATTTTTCATCCCCCCAATATATTTCGATAAAATTTAATAGAATCCATAATTGGAGCTAGAAGCACCCGCAGCACGATTTCAAAACTTTTTTAAAACTTTAAAATTTTAAAGATTTTTAAATTAGTTTGAATTCAAAAATTTGAAGCTTTATTGTTTAAAATAATGTTTTTACTTCCTAACGTAAATTATCAGATAATTTTTTTAATGATTTAATGGAAATTTAGTGCTTATTTTTCTATTTAAAACAAAATTTTAATCGCAAAATGTGCTCGCAGTAAAATATTTATGAACCAATCACGGAAACGCTTTTCATTTACTGCGGAGATGGTTTTGTTGAACATGTCAAAATCAACATGGCGGCGGACTCGAGATATTACGCCAAGATAACGCGGAACCAAAATTCGCGTCATGAATCGACAATGTTTAAAATATGTGATCGTGTTGGAAGTCATTTATCACAAAACGATGTTCATTTATTGACTATATTATCTGGGAATGTTTTGGATTCATCAACACGGCGTAAAATAAAGAATGGCAAAGATTTGTTTCTTGCACTTTCAAAAGAAGGACATTGTGATGAATCGAATTTTGAAAGCATTTTAGAAATGCTTAAAATAATAAGGCGTCATGACCTATTACATATGTTCACTGTTAAGCAAAAACCTAAAGGTATTAAAGATCACTAATAATTTTATGTTTTCCATAAAATGCATTACTGGTAGTTTACAATGTAAACAAACAATGTTAATGTCTGTTTGCTTGCACTTCTTTCGTGTTAATTAACAATTTTATCTTCAATGTTTAGTTGTTAATCTGTTCAATCTGCTATTTCTTTTATATCAGGTGCAAATAAATAAGATGTTTGCTCTTAAAAAGTATTAGTAATTCAAAATTTACTTTATATATACAATAGTATATATTTGAATTACTAGTCCTTTCAGGGAGCTACGACGCATGCTTTAAATTTGCGGGTACAAATGTCTGTTGTAAAATCTATACAATATAATTGTAAATTTCAAAACACTAAAGCTATGATGCACACCCTGAGCTATGATGCATCATCAACATTTGTTGATCCAAATGTAGGTTGTAATATTTAATATTCCTAAACACTAGTTGCTTCTCTAAGTTACGATGAATGGTCTAAATTTTCAGACCCAAATGTGGGATTTAAAAGTTTTGTTTCCAAAGTAATGTTGGAACATCAAGGTACGAAGATAAACCTGTTGAAATTTAAGTTTTATAAGTAAAGTAAGTTCTCAATAGACTGATGGTTAAATATTATATTTCTGAAGATTACGAAATTATTAAGTAACCTGTTTTATCTAATGATTATAATTTAACCTAATACAAGGAATATTTCCATATCATGATCTGTCGTGCCAAATAGATTTTAAACTTGCAATTTAAAATCTATATTGTGTTTTCCTTTCCAGGGGGGAGTAGGAGTTATATCTTTCTAGTTGTTCCTTTCTTTGATGATTAAGTTTAGTTTCTCGCAGCCACTGCCCGGCAGTTACCAAGACTTGGCGATTATTCTGCTGCAGATCACGATACGGAAATCTCTCCTTATAAAATTATGAAGTTGCAAATGTAATTGATTTATAGTGACTCCTTAATCAATGTAAAAATATCAGGGGTCTGTTTAGAAGAAATTTAGGTCCGTTAACGGACCCTTCACAAAATATTTTCTCATAAAAACGGACCTGCACAAAATATTTTAACTTTAAAACAGACTCTTCACAAAATGATTTTTCTTTTAATCGGACCCTTCACAAATTTGTTTATCTCCATTATTGTTTTGTTAATCGAATAAACCCTTCCCAGGGCAGAAAACAAGAAAAATGGATGTAAGCGAGTTAAGTTTGGTCTTCTCCAGACGCTTCTTCCATTATTCGTACGAAATGAATATTCTGCGTTCAGCAGTATAGGCTAAATACCAAATATTTGCATGTTGCATCTCTAATTTAAAAGCAGCAATTGCTGTTTTTCTTTTGAAAATTTAATTTTTTTTATTATAATTTTACAGTGCTGAGTATAATCTCTTAACAATTTAAAAACTCCTTGAAAATTGCAGAGTATAACTGTTTTGATTATACCTATCATTTCAATTTATGTTATTTAAATGCTTTTTTAAATTTCTTGTTGTGTTTTTGTCAGAGAAAATAGTAACTTCGTTAAGTCATGGAAAATTGTAGGAATTAAGTCATGAATTTGAAAATTTAAAATGTAGCAGATACCCTGCCTAAAGAAAGTATAGTATAGTGATCCGTAAGGTACGCAGGCTAGTCACATATATTGGGACAATACCGAAATATTTTTATCTTACTTTATCAACTCAATTACAGTAGAGCCCTGATTATCCACAAAAAGATAAAAAATTTTATTGCACATGATAAATCATTGATATTTTTTTTAATGTGTAACTGACCTCTTTTATGTATGAAAACTTTTATACATTAGTTTTTTACTTTACCATTCATTATTTCAGTAATTTAGACATAGAACAAAAGATTATTGCTGTGTGTTTAAAATATGAACACCTGTATAAATTTGTTTTAAAATCATTTTTGTGTTTGTTTCTGTTTTTTTAACTTTATTTATTTATTTTGTTTATTGCTGTTCTCTGGCTACCAAATCTCTCAGATAATTGGGATTTTACTTTATATCCATTTTTTGCTCTTGTACCATTATACCCTACATTCAATTCACTTGATATTCATTTTTCTGGTTATTTTATTTTTTTATGACGTTCCACTTATAGTTATAAATTTTATCAGAAGAACTTTGTAAGTATTTACTTTATATACTGGTACCGGATAACATAATGTGAACATTTCCATATCAACTCTGCAATCTTTTTTACACTATCTACCAATAAGTATTTGGACACCTATGCAAACGGACTATACCTGCAGTCCTGAGATTCGTCACACCCTCCTAGTATAGATTGGGACCCTTGGTCCCCATTCATGGTAAGCTTAACGCTGATGCCTACTGCACTATTTTGGGTGACAATGTGCTTCCTACGCTGTGGCAGTTTTACATGGTGGACCCCTGAATGCCAGCTGTCATGTTGCGAAGGTCACCAAGGCTTGGCATGGTGCCAATGGGGTTAATTGAATGGACTGGCCTGCCCAGACCTGAACCCTATCGAGGACAAGTGGATCGCCGAATTAAGGGGTTTACTACCCTTCCAAAATCGGTGAAGGAACTTACATGTCTTCTCCAAGCCTACTGGAAGGAAATACCACTAGCCGTCACACAGGGACTTGTGGAAAGTATGCCCCGGAGGGTTCACACTGTAATTACCTCTCCTGAAGACTCTACCCACTATTGATTATGAATAAAGTTTGTTTTTCGTTTCAATCACACATGTCCAAATACTTATCGGTTGATAGTGTATATCAGAAAATATTTTGAAAATTTTTTTATCATATAACTGTTGGCACAATTTTAAACATCATGCTTGAAGCTGGGACTCCTTTTATTTTGCATTAAACAAAAAGAATATAGAGAGTATAAAACGTCTTTCATTTTTTAGTACCACTATATTTCTCAAAGTATTTTTATATAATTAGCGCAATCCTATAAAATTACTTTAAAATTGTTGGTATCGAAGCTAAACAGAAGTCCTCATTTTGGTTGATCTGCATTTCGCATGGCGAAAAAAGACACCATTTCTAAAAGCTTTAAGTATGATTTTTAAAACTCTGCCATCAGTTTTGCAAAGTAAAATCTTCTAAAACATTTGCTGCTAAACAAAAAAAATTTATTACATAGTTCACATAGAAGTGTTCTCATCATGTTGCCCTGTACCTGCATGTACTTTAGTGTCAAACTTAAAATGTGTCGATCACATTTTCTACAGAATGCAATAATTTTAAATTAGAAATTGAGTCTATTTTATTGTAGTACAACCCTTTGAAGTTTATTCTAATAATTTAAATTTAGTATAATAGACATATAAGTGCTTAAGATATTTCTTTGTCTGTACCTATTGGCATCGTTTAAAATGGCCATGGGAAGGCGGAATGCTGCCTGGTTCTTGGTGTTATTTTAAGTTTTGTGCTTGCCAATCTCAGGTTTACTATGTCCCCATAATTTGGCAATCGTGGTAGCGTAGGTACCCGTACGAAAACTTTCCCTAAATATTAATTTTATTACTAGCATAAATTAGTGTTGCTGTTGATAAATTATTATTTAAAACAAAATTTAAGTTTTTCGTACTTAAAAAAATAATTCAGTATATTGTACTTAATTTAAAAAGCACTCTTGTAAATAAAAAGATGATAACATATTTATTTTGTGATAATTTATGATTTGATCGCATGTATTATGTGGGTGTAATAATAGATTGAGTCATTATCCAATTGTATCACACCCAACAAAAGTTACGAAAATTTTTTGCTATTTAACGGCTTACTATGTAATTAAAATATATTTTTTTATTTGTGTATATATGAATCTGTATCTGATTTTGTATATTCTTTTACCATATTATTTTTATTTTATTTAGTTACCCTTGATCCTGTTGAAGAATACCTCAAAAATATAGGGCAAATCTACCAAAATGTTGATGCCCTTGCCTCTTATTCTCAGTCAAATCAAACCTTAAGGATAAGTGGTAACAATAATAAAGTACCTTCCACTCCAACTGAAGATAGGATAAACTTTCCTACTAGTGAATCTTCTCCTGCCAAAAGATTACGGCGAAGTCAACGAATTTCAAACCGTAATGTGATTTACCATGCACCGAGTATTATTGATTCCAGTCCAACTGCAGCTAATCAGAAATATACTTGTGGTAACATTTTTAATTATTTTGTTTTCTTATTATTATTAAAACAGATTTGATGCCTATTACATGGCTGCCAACTGTACTAGATTTTGCCAGTTTCTCCTGGTCTGCTGTTTTAATTAATCCTAATTTCCTAATTTTTGTCCATTTTAGAAAATTGCCAAAAAGTAAGTCAGTTTCTGAAAAAATCCCTATTGAAATAGTATTTGTGTACAGATTATTGCTTTCTTGTTAGAATATTTAAATAAGTATTATTAATACACAATGAAGCGAACCTCATTTATAAAAGCAGCATAAAGCCTTTTTTTATTATTTCTTTAAAAAATTTTAATCTCTTAACTATCTTTTATGAATTAAATGCCTATTAATATTCGAAATTATGATTAAACATACTACATAACATTTCAAGACAGGGTTGGCAAGGTTTAGGACAGAATAGATTAATCCACGGTTTAAACCGTCCTGTCCAAAACCCTTTTACTCAAATTATGTCACAATTTTATCTGAACAATATTTAAGGAGTAAAATAAACATAGAACTAATAACACATTGATGATTAAATATACTGGAGAATATTTGTTTTTAAAAGTATAATGTTTTATTAATTTTGTTTGACTCTTCAATTTAAACAAAGATAGATTAATCAGTAATCAAGTTCAATTGATCCTCTCATTCAATAGTACATAACTGAAGTTTGGCCTTGCCATACAGGTTAAGATATTAGGGACTAAGTGCTTGGTTCGTCATAAACAGGTTTATTCAGCTATAGTACTATTCAAGAATACTTTTATTTCATTTATATTCAATTCTTTTAGCATAGCGGTGATACATCACCAGTGTCAGTAACTGAAACTGATGTTATGCCCTTCAAAACTGTTAATACATTTTTCAGTTATTTTGTATTTCCAATTNTTAAACTGTTCTACCGTAAAGTGCTCGACTTCGCGTGCAGGTCGTTGGGCTACCGAAGCGGGGGTGCCATCCCCTCTGCAGAGGATCAAAATTGTGATGGCTTGTCTTCGGATCATCCTCAGGGATGTTTCCCAGACCGTCGCCAATAGCCCATTGTGCAGCTCTAGTGCGACGTAAATGAACTACCTACCTACCTCCTAATTTTTGTCCATTTTAGAAAATTGCCTAAAATTTAGTCAGTTTCCTAAAAAAATCCCTTTTGAAATAGTATTTGTGTACAAATTATTCCTTGCTTGTTAGAATAGAATTTTTAAATAAGTATTATTAATACACAATGAAGCGAACCTCATTTATAAAATCAATATAAAAACTTTTTCTCTTTTTTTTTAATTTTTAGTTTACTTTTATTCAGATCTTTCTCTAAATTATTTAAAAAATATTTTAACTATCTTTTATGAATTAAATGCCTATTAATATTCAAAATTATGATTAAACATACTACATAACATTTCAAGTATGTTTAATGTTTGCATAACTGGAAAATATTGCAGTTTTTCTGTTTTGATGACTATAAAAATCCCTAACATTCCCTATGTGTAAAATATTTGATACATTATGCAACAAACATTTTTTTGTTAATGCAGTTGAATTCTGTTATGAATTCTGAATGTATGAGCTCTATTATTTTGATTTATCTGTAGGAACCTGCATTTAACAGGAAGTTTTAAAATTATTAGTTTAATGTTAGGAAGCTTGTGCTTGTTGTTAGCTTGTATCTTTACATGCCCAGCCAGTGATGGTAAGTAATTAATGAGATAAACGACATCAAAGAAGGAAGGAAAAAAATGCTATCGAATTTAATTATATAAATAGCAATTTATATTGTGTTATTGTGGGTCATTTTTTTATTCCTCTAGCTATGTTTATTTTTATTCATAAAAAGTTTACTCCAAGCGAAGTAAAAAATTGGATTATGGTAGCGAACATGTGAGCCATATTGTTTTAAGAAAAACTGTTGAAAGCCATGCATTTTCTTATTTTACTTAATTTACTCTGATAGTAAAACTATGTTGTCTACTGACTTTAATATAATCTTCCTGATTAGTAGAATGTAAGTGTACTGTCTTTTTTGATTTTATTTCTTGTAAAGTACTCTCCAATATAATAATAAATTAATAAAGTACCCTCCAATATAAAAACAATTCTCCAATATATCTATGTCTATCATGAAACATGTGTATAATCTATAAAACAGGGATGCACTTCAAAAGGGGCCCCTAAATACTTTTGGTTCCTGAACTGTATAAAATATTATAGGAAGCATAAAAGAAAAGCTTGTAAAAAAAAAAAAAATTCATCTCTGGTCTGTAACGGAAAGTTACTGATCAAGTTTAAAGCCTTTCTTTAATTATCAGAATATGACCATTTTATTATGAAAGTTATATTTGCGCAATATGTTCAAAGTTTGCAGTGAAATGTGTGTTGTGTATGAATTTGTACAAGAAAACTGAAATTTTACAAGTGAATTCGAAAAACAAGGAAATTATTATTCTAAAATTCTAGCTGTCTTCACTTTATCAGTGATTCCGCTATACTTAGGAAACCAAAGGTTCTTATAGGATTGCTGGTACCATATTTCTGGGTTGCTTTTTACTAAAAGCGGGTCGCTATTTAAAATATCAATTCTATTATTAACGAGGAAAAATTGTTTTGCTTTAAATATCTAACATTCAATTATAATCTTGCTGAATATCGGTCAGTTGCTTAATATGAATACAAATTTCGCGCCTGGTTCGCACTGATAAAAATTATTCTCAGTGGTAGGCGGATCATGGATTAGAGCTCCTTTGTCGTCAGGCTAACCGTGAGAGGTTTTTGTGGTTTTCCTCTCCATCTAATGCAAATGCGGGTCAGTTCCGTCAAAAAGTTCTCCACAAAGGCAAATTTCTTTCACTACTTGATCCAGGAATTGCCTTGTCTTCTGGATTGGGATCAAAATTACAAGGCTACGCCTGAACATTGGTAGTCACAAACTCAAAAATAGAAAATTGTGTGTGCTGTTCAACGACAGTTATAAAATAATCTTCAGAACTTTGAAATTCTATTTGCTTTCAAACAAATTCTAAATATTACCCACATTTTTATGAAAGCATTATGTTAACATTGCTGTAGTTTTTGTGACCCATTTCCCAAAAAAGGTAATGCATCCCTGATACAAAGAACATACATAGAGGAAGAAGGCTAGCTTAGATAGATCTAATACAAACCAGTCAACCAAGGATTGGTGCGGTCAATGTGCATAAAGGAAAAAGCAACTTGCTCGGGGCACACCAGCATAGGTTTTTAAACTGGTTTTCATTCTCCTCTCCTTCCAACCTTTACTGGGGTTGGGAAGGAGATGAAATGTTTTTTATTTTCATTTATTGTTGGTTTGTTCTGCATTTTTGCAGGATTTATAAATAGTACTGTTCTATTAAGATATTTCTTTGATGATACATTTATATCTTCCATGTTGATTAAATCTCCTAACATATTTTAAGATAGAAGGAAAGGATAAAATGGCAAGTGACAGCGTACGTAACCCTGTTGTAGAGTTGTCCAGCAATCGGTTCGACGATGCCGTGCCTCCTGACTGTCACTTCGCTTCCTATGCCCTTTCTCTTTTGGTATAACATACCACACCGAGTACTTTCCCGCGTTAGTTATGTATTGGACGAGCTGGACTTCTTCTTTCTATGTTATTTGCCTGTTATAAGAACTCGTGATTTTAGATAACCTATGTTTGTATATCCAAAATCATAAGTCTTTAGTTGGCAACACTTGGGTTAAACGTAAATGCATTGAATGTGTTGTTGTCTGTTAAGAATGTGTAAATACACATTCACGCTCACACATTGTACAATGCTACATAAAATAATAATTACAATTATAATAAAATACGAAGAGCCACGTGATTCGGAATAAAGAGCTTGCCTCCCTCTTAATGAGATAACCCAGGTTTGAATCCCAGCAATGACAAGTTAATATGAATCTGCTCTCAGCGCACACCAACCACGGTGCTGACATTGTTTATAGTCAGGCTAACAGTGGGAGTTTTTCTTGCTTTTCCTCTCCATGTAAAGGAAATGCGGATTAGTTCCATCATAAAGTCCTCTGCGAAGGTTAGTTTGTCCTAACGCTTGATCGAAGAGTTCCCTTGTCGTCTGGATTGGGTTCTAAATTACTAGGCTGCGGAGTTGAACATTGGTACCCATTAACTCAAAATTAGGTCGGCTATTTAACAATGATTATTAAAAAAAATACTCATGCTTAAAAATGTAGAAAAATTACTGAATTTTAATTGAAAACCTACTTGCAAATAAAAAAATAGGGATTTTTCAAATTTCTTTCCTTGTGAAATACATTTATTAACTTTTTATTTTTGTTGCAAAATATTTTTTTATGTTAGTAGAATAAAAGAAATAACACTAGATAGTGTTAACATTAAGAACAAAATTATTTTACATTTTCAAAGAAAGATTTAAAGAGGTTTGTAAGGAGTTAAATTGGTTTAAGCCAAAGTTATAATGTATAAAATAGGATTGTATAATCAGCAGAAATTATTAGATTGCCTACTTTAGATTATTATAAAAAAGTAAATTTTCTTTTTAATTTAATTTATCACTCAAAGAACATTGTTTTACAATCTTTTGTAATCAGATAAAAAAAAAAGGACTTAGTTTACCAACCTTTTCTTATAGCTATTATAATTTAGCACAATTTTGAATATTTTTCTCAATTTATTTTACCCTTTTTAAGCTAATAATCTTAAAATACTTTCTAAAAAGTTGTTGCCCAAAAATAAAATTTTTTAAACTAAATATTGTTAAACTTTTTGATTTTTATAGAATAATTAATAATTTAACATAACAGAAATGAAATACATTTTATACTCTTTATTTTATCAGATTTTTTTTTATCTCAATGATATACATATTTATTTTAAACTAAAAATTATGCGAAAATGAATTATACCGTATTGTTCGGCACAGCATGTCCTTATTTGGGTATTGTGTCATTAAACCTTACATTCAATTAGTCTATGAGAAAATTAATATTTAAAGGTACATTTTTAAATAAAAAAATAGTATTTAAAAAAATAATAGTAAAATTTAAAATCACTAAGTAAACTCAATATACCTCCAAGCATAAGATGTGATCTCTGAGGCTGAATATCATGCAAATTTTAACTATAGAGCTAGACAACATAAGAAAAATCTTAAATTAAGGAATGAAATTAAAAATTGAAGTGAAATTATCAGTCACTAAATAAATTAGAAGTGGACTTTTCATTCAAACAGATGATTAAGAAAACAACCTTTTCCTGAAAAAATAAAATAAAGAGGCAGTGTTTTTAAGGTAAGGCTGCTTATTTTTACAAAAAGGGCAAGGAGGACGCATTTCTAAAAGCGCTTAGGGAGAACACTTATATAATATCTATATCACAAAGTTTAAATAAAATAGTTTTCTAAAAATTGAGAAGTTTTTTTGGCTAGTTCGTATCTAATGAAAAATTATATAAAGCCGTATTTTATTTTCTTGTTAGCTTTTTAAAATAAATTTTATGTTTAATTCAAGAAGAATTTACTCTGTATGCTGTTATGGATGTAATAAAATTATTTCATTGTCTCTAAAATTTACTATGTATTTCTAACTGAATCCCTCCTTCCCCAAAAAAAAAACCAATTAACCCCCCCCCAANAATACTATCTGCTTCAGGCTTTTTTAAAAATACCCAGGTTTTTTTCAGCCTGAATATTTTGTAAACTAATGTGAAGCCTCCATTAATTACTTAGGTATCGGTGGATAAGGATTTTTATTTATTATTAGTAGTAGTACATCACCTGTAATGAGTTTTAACTCACCTAACTTTTTATCTAACTTGTCTGAAAAAGTAAAGGCTGGGAAATCAAGCCGTATAATACTGTTGGTTTTAAATTTGTAGAGCCTTAATACCTGACCCACAGCTGGCCGATGCAGGAGTAATATACTTTTAATTAAGCTGCAGTGGCTCAGAGGATAGTGTTCGCCTTCTAATGAATTGACCAGGTTCGAATCTCAACAGTGCCTGGTTGATACGAGCTCTGCTTCCGCACCGACCATAGTGCTGACTCAAAATATCCTTAGTGGTAGATGTATCCTGGGTTAATCCCCTTGCCATCGTGCTAGCAACGATAAGTTTACGTGGTTTTTCTCTCTATGTTACTCAAATGCGAGTCAATTCCATCAAAAACTCCTTAATGAAATCTAGTTTGTCCCAATGCTTGATCAAGGAGTTCCCTTGTCTTCTAGGTTGAGTTCATAAGCTCATGGCTACAAAGTTGAGCATTGATAGTAGTAAACTCAGAATTGGGTCAACTGTTAAACGGCGGTTATGAAATTTAGTTCCTGATTCTTTCTATAATTCTTAACATCAAGTATGTAACTCTTAACTATAACTAAAGCAATTTTTTCTTTCAGTTATCTTAAAATAATTTTCTTTTTTTCAGATGTTCGTCTCAGAGTTAGAGCTGAGTATTGTAATTACCAGTCTGTTCTACAAGGCAATGTGTCATCAGTTAAAGCAGACCCTGTAGAACGCCAGTTGGAGTGTTTTACTCAAGCAAGTGCAATTTTACGTGCAAGGGACTTAGGCTACATTGTATGTGATATTAAATTTTCAGAAATAACATACCTCGACGCATTTTGGAGAGATTACCTCAACGGATCTTTGCTAGAAGCCTTAAAAGGTACAATCCTATTCATTCTCCTTTTTAGAAGGATTGTTAACATTAACCCTTTGACCATGAATTTTAAAAAAGGATTTTTTTTTGTCCCGTTTATTATTCAAAAGGACAAAATAGGCCACAAATAAGGCAAATTAAATTTAGTCTTTGGGATTTTCTGACAAGCGGTTATCAATTTAGAAGATGGGACATATATGTCCGTGCCATACTTAACTTAATGGGGGGATACATATGTCCATTAGTAATTTTTAAACATTTGTTAGGACAAATGAGTCCCGTTAGTAGTCAAAGGCTTAAATGTCATTTGTATTGCTTTGCTTTCATATATTTATTTAAGCATGTAAAATTGAGTCTTTTATTTTATGAAAATAGAACAGTGGAATTTAAATACCGTTGCACTTAGCATTACTTATTTAGTCTCCTTAAACTACTTACTTTGTTCATGAAGACAGCTCCTGAAGATAAAGACAAACTCATAATTTTGGCGAAGTGCACGGTCAGGATGGTTAATTATAAATAATTTTAAAAAAATTACAAGTATTGAAGTAATAAATATCTTTTATTTTTGTGTTTTTTAATTTGATAATTTTTGAAGGATAAATTAGGAAATGCCAACTTTTGCTCTCACCAAAAAGGTTTTTCCGAAGTGATTGTTAGATGACAATTTAATTACAGTTGTTGGCAGAAACATTTTTTTCATTTGCCCTGAAACTATTCATACCATTGTCTGATTATCATGACTTTATGTTATGTTTAATTTGTTCACATAAATTGGTGGTTTAAATCTTGTTTTTATTAAATTTATGAATTCAAATTATAAAAATCAAGCATAAATTTTTTTACCACATAAAATGTAAAATAATCTTACGAAAAAATCGTAAAAGTTGCCAGCTATGACAAACAGGGAAAGTACTCAATGTATTGTTAGCTTTCAAAGTAGTAAACAAAACGAAAAGTAGTAAAACTTGTTAAAACCCTATGAAACCTTTGAAACCTTCCATGTTAGATGGTAAAGATTCTGTGAGTGGTAACAAAATCATAGCAGAAAGCAGAAATTTTATAAAAGGTTGATTTAGTATCTTATGCAATAACTGAAGATTCCATAATATAAATGGCTGCAAAGAAATTGTGTTTGAAGGGGGCTTAAATTCTAATATTAAAAAAAATATGCTAAAATTTGGGGGGAGGTATGGTGCATAAAATTATTCAATTGTTTTTTAATCAGAAAGTATAGAATATAAGGTTATAGATAGCTGTGACGGTTTTGTTGCTGCTTTTGACGAAGTTTTCAATTGCATAAGTTTCATTGACTTTATTTCCTACTTTAAAGTGTGAGCTTTTCGGAATAAACCTTACATATATAAAAGAAAAATTCATAAAAAGCTCCTTTATCATTAAATTATAAAATTACATAACCTGGCCAATCGAGGCATTACATAATCTGGCCTCTGGTGAAATGTCTCGAAATCCAACTATTGCAAGGCTTTTTAAACTCTTTAATAATATGAATGTTTTATTTTAATTATCGTTCTTTGTTAAATAAAGCTTTATTTATTTTGCTTTTAATATTTCTTCTTTTTTCCATTTAGGTGTATTCATCACTGAGTCTCTAAAGCAAGCCGTAGGCAATGAAGCAATTAAGTTACTTGTAAATGTGGATGAAAGTGACTATGAGAAAGGTCGTGACCTTCTAATGAAAAATTTACATTTGACAGTTTAAACTTGTTATGCTGTTTTAATTCTTCACTGTTATAAAGTTTTTATTTATTTTTTTTTGGAAATATTCATAGTTATATATTTGTTTTATTCATATTATTACATAAAGTGTAAAAAAAAAAAACATTTATTTTGTATTTGGTTACTCTTCTAATTTGGTTCTTGTAAACATTTGTTTATTTTTTCCATGGTCTATGTAAACTCCATTTAAAACTGTATGTAAAAAGGTCGCATAATTATTTAACTTTTTCGACTGTGAAATGTTATTGTCTCTCATTACTGGCTTTTAATGAAAGCTTTAGATTTATAAGAATTCTAATGGATATAGCTTTTGTACATGTGGAAGTTTTAATATGAATTGGATGGATTTAAAATTTATTATTTCTAAAATTGTACTATTAGTGAAATAATCCCCTGAATGACCAGGTCTTGAATTAACATTGCTACATGCTGGCATTCCCAAGCTTCAGACTTTTGAATTTATTGAAGGGAAAAGAAAGGAAAAAAAAGCTTTCATCTGCTAAATATGTAACAATCTTACATTAACATTGCTACATGTTAGCATTCCCAAGCTTTAGATTTTTGAATTTATTGAAAAATAAATACTGTCACCTGCAAAGCATGCAACGATTAATTTCTAATTAAATAACAATTACGTAAAGGTTTTCTTTAAAACTAAAGTGGTACCATATACATATATAACTCTTTCTGTATATTAATTTCGTTTATTACTTATAAGTTGTAAGAATTTTTTTTAAGCAATTACTTAATATTTTACTTTATTAGAAGTTTGTGTTCAGAAAATATATCAGTTGGTATTTTTGTTTAGTTTCAATCTATACTAGAAGGGTCTGCATCGAGATTGATTATAATTGAAAACTTTGTAATGTCAGTAAGTGCTCAGGGTTTTTTTTTAAAAAAAATTTATTCTTTGCCTCTGTTTTTCTTTTTTTTCTGTGTTATTTTAGTGCTAAAATATATTAAAAATAAACTCATGTTAGATTAAGACCTTCAGGGGATTATTAACTTAAATGTTTAAGTAACTGTCTTATTTTTAAATAAATATGTGCTCAGTTCTCATCTCAGCTGACGGGTTTTATATACAAGAGCTATCTTTTGGAGCATATTTAAATAAAATTAAGTGTAATCTAACAGTCTACCTCATGGTAAAAAATTTAAGTTATAAAACATTATTAGTGTTTTCAATTTAAAATAAAAGTTATGCTGCAAATATCTAAATTTCAAATTTTTATATACACACTACATACCTCTCTAGTTGAATCAAATTAAACATTTCTTGTTACTTTTCAATCAAATATGCTATGATGATGGTTTAAAAACTTTAAAATGAAATAGTTTCACTTACAGCATATAGTGAGTTATACATATGTTCTGATTCAGCGTATGTTAAAATGTCCAACTTAGATGTTGCTTTTCTGAGAAACTGCAGGAATATTCTAAAATCATTTTTAACCCTCTCACTTCTAGATAATGGGAGCTAATTTTTGTAAATTTGATGTCTGGAATTTAAAATTTATGAAGTTGACTTTAAAAGTAATTTGAAAAATAATCAATGAATGGAATTTTTATGTTCAAGAAAATTTGGATTTGCACCATAAGAAGAAAATTTTGGAAACTGATCACTGGAAGACATAACGAACTGAAATTTTTATATTATGTGGTTAAAACTTCCACCATATTGAGAGAAAAATTATTAGATACAGGGTATCCGCGCACCTGGAAAGTCATGGATTTCGGTATTGAACAAAATTTGTCATGATTTTAACTATTTTTTTTTTTTTTTAAAAAATCACGGATTTAGGTTGCTGAAAAATCTAATTTTTAAAATGGAATTAACCCCCCAATTTCTTAGTGTTCCGAATATCTGAATTTGTAACAAAATCCCCGCTCACAGTCAGTTTGATTAAAATATAAATTTTTTTTATCATGTACTTTAAAAATTATGACGTTCTTTTAAAAAATAAAAGAGAAAAAACCTAAGTTCTAGAGCGAATTATTTTTTAAACTTCTGTGATTTCATAATTTTTGTTATTAGTATTTATTTTTTTATCAATTTAAAATTCTAGCTGAAGCAAGGTTCATTCGTGAATTTTTTTATTCCGTAATGAGATCAGAAAAATCGGAGTATTTCTTTCCTTTCCGATGAACAAGAAAAGTATCTTTAGAATGTAATTCTGCAGAAAAAAATTGCTTTTGTATTTTTTTCAGCTATTCTATTACTTCGACTCTTTCTTTACTGTTTCTTAAATTTAAAATCTATAAATATGAAGATGCAGATTATAACAGTTTTTGTTATACCTATCATTTCAAGGAATGTTGTTATAATGCTTTTTTTAATTTATTGTTGTGTTCTTGCCGGAGAAAATAGTAACTTCTTTAAGTCATGAAAAATTTTTGGTATTAGTCATGGAAAGTCATGAATTTGAAAATCTAAAATGTAGCAGATACCCTGTAGATAATGATACTCGAATTCTCATATTAAAATGTGGTAACACTCCCACCATGAGAGGAGGGAAAAAAATCTTGAAAAATTATCTCTGACTGGAATTTTTATATTAAAATGCGACAATAGCAGGAGGGAATTTGAAAAATAATCAATAACTGGAATTTTTATATTCAAAAAATGTGTTCTAAAAAAAAAGAGCATTTGAAAAAAATTCGAACATCGGTTTCTTGGTAAAGCTACATTAGAGTTTGTCATTTTGCATACGAGATCAAACATCTGACTCCCCACAATGTGTTCTTTTTAAAAGGAAAGACTTAACCATTATCTTACCTCAAATAAATGTGTAAATTTGTGAAACTCCTCATCACTGTTAATAAAATTTTCACAATTTTTAGCATTGTTCAACGAAGTTTTCCTTTGTACTGCAAATATGTATGGTCAATTTTTGCACGTTTAATCAATGTCATTCTGCTACAAAAGAAACAGTGAATATGTCAAAATACCTCTTAATTAAATGAGTATCATAATATATCTTCCAACTACCTCATTTTATTTCAGAAGTGTTTTGCCATGCCTTATTGCATGTTCTATTGTAATTCCGGAACTGTCTATGGAAGAAGAAAAAAAAGTTCATAAATCGTTCACCCTTTTTCTACTATTCAAAGTAGATCTTCAATGTTTGAACATATACTTTTCACAATTAAACAAGGTTTGTAATGAAATCAAGTGTGTATTGCTATCTTGTTGCCGTGATTTCTCCCAGAATTTTACACGGAAAAAAGTTATTGTATTAACACTGCTATTATACTTAAATGCGGTCTTTACTGTCTTAATTTATAGTTATTGTTTGAAAAAATTACAGGCTATGTGCAGTTAGTTGTATACTTGATAGCTTTATTGCTGAGTTCATTATGTTATGAAAACTAAAATATTTATAAATTGATCCTTGTATGCTCTGTTGATTATATATAAGAAAAAGTTCTTTATCATTCCGAAGATGATTTATATTCTTTAAACAAAACTTTTATTGTTTCAGACTTCTTAGATGTTTTATCCTGTTATTCTACTTTAATTTCTGGAGTTTTTTGTCGTTTTGCAGCTAATTTTTTTTTGCTAATATTGTTAAAAGTAGTTATAAATTTCTGATTTATTATTAAGATCATATAGTATACCTATTAACATAAAAACACCACTTATGATGTATTTTACACAAATATTTTTTAAACAAATCTTAAAACGATTGTGCTTGTTTGATGCCATGTCTAAGTACTGGTGTAAATTTAATAAACATCAAGATTATATAAATACAGGGCCCATGCTTAGCATTCGCCACCTCACCAGATGTGCTAAAATCGTTAATTCGGCAAAACAAATTATGTTTTGACCAGCGATTTTTTTCTACCTAAAAAACTTTATTATATATTACTGTCATTCCAGAAAATTACTTATTATATTAATTTTAATAAGAATTTTATTGAGTTCAGATGATGTAAGTAAAAAGAGAGATAATGTAAGCATAAAAAACCTGTAAAATACAGATAAACACATTTATTACCAGATTTCATGATATCAAGTGGCAAGACTCTATCCTGCATTTTTTGTCAATAAAGTAGATTAAGTGGTAGCTACACAACATGTTATATTCTTTTTAATAAACATGTTATCCAACTGTTTTTCTAAAAAAATATGTGTTCTCGTTACAATAACACATTGTTTATTAAAACTTAAAATGGTTGCTAAAATAAGAAATTTTTAACTTCGATTTTATCTTTATTGATTGCCACTTTTTAATGATATGGTGTAACCACCTGCACTCAGCTGGTGATGAACATGTTAAACTTTGCCAAAATTTTGATGAAATATATCTGGTCGTCGTATAAAAACTAATAGAGCAGAATTAAATTATTCAAATAACTAATCTTCTACTGCAATCCTTTTTTTTGGGGGGGGGGGATATATACGCCAGACAGTAAAAGTTGTTTTAATCAAAAGTAAAAAATGAACCGGAAATTTAAAATGAAATATTAATTTCATTAAACAGATACTAAGAATCTAAAAAAAACATCAAATGTTGCTTCAAGTTTATACTACTGCTCGAACTTAAGAAGTTATCAAAAATGAACCACAACCTATTCTTATTTCTTTTCCTGAAGGACTATAAAATATATAAATTTTTCTCCATTCTCCCATTCATTGCTCATTTACATTTTCTCAAAAGCATTATAAAAGTTCTTTTAATTTGAATTTGCATTTTATCAAATATTTCAATTTATAGTAAATTTGTATTTTGATTAGAAATTTTCTATGGGAAACAATTTGCCAAGATCTGCCTTTGGCTAAGACTTTTGATATTTGGCTTTACTGGCTAATATGAAGTCCTTAATGCTGGCCCTGTATGTATATATATTGTGTATTAATAATGTTGCAAATTTAGGTGTGAAAACCAAACATTTATTTACAAATCTGGATTTATTTTAGAATTCAAGTAAGTCAATTTTCGCAGGATCGTTTGATTCTTTATCTAAATTTGGTTGTAATATACTGTATGTTGGTTTGCCTTTTAAAAAAAAAAGTGTGAGAAAAGAGCCTTTATTATATTGAATTTCTGTGTTTCTGAGTTAGCTTATTTTTTTACTGGTATACTCTGACTTCTCAACTTTTTTCCCTTTTTACTTCCAAAAAATAGATTTCAATGTTTTTTGATAATATAATGCATTGCATTGTTCTATTCAACGTCTAATGGTATAAATATATGTATAATTAATAAGTTTTGCTTAAAAAAATTTAATGTAAATTGCAATTCTCGTGAAATTCAAACAAACATTTTATTTTTTTTATTTTTTATTATTATGCATATAATTTTTTTTTATTGAAAATTAAATGTAGAATTACAAATATTATTTACTATAAAAGTTTTGAATATAAATAAAATTAGTCCCAAACCATTTTTATTCATATCCAACTGAAAAAAAATATTTGCATAATATAAAAAAATAATAATAAAGGCTATGAAGTGAAGTGCCATCTTTGTAGAATTTATTCCTCTTAACAATTTTATTTTGAATATATAGTTAGCAAAAAAAAAAAGGTTATACAATATCCTTACATGTAATATCTTAAAATGTTGTTTTGATAGTGTTTTGTATCATTTGACTATTTTTATTTACATGTATCTGGTTCAAGCATGTTGAAATTGTAAGTTTCATTTTTTTTTCTAGTAATTATTTCAATTCCCTATTTTAATTCTGTTTAATATCTAGAAAAAGGTCAAAAAGTTGAGAAAATGATCTTTAATAATTTGTAAGCTTATTTTTATCCCTGCTTGAATGTTTAATCTATAACTTTCATATTATATTAAATTTGAATTCTTATTGTATTCATTTTCTTTAACAGAATTAATATTATAATTCTGAAAATTTGCATTTAATCTTAGTACGGATCTAAAAATGCAAGAAAAATTATTGCATTAAATTAAAAAACATTTGCAGAAATCTATTTAAAAATTTGGAGGGTGGGAGACAGTTCTAGTAGCCAAAACTCTACATGCTTTAGAACTTTTAGAAAAATAATTTAAAAACTTAATTTACGTTGAAAAAAAATATTAAATGAAACTCAAAGATTCATTCCTAACTCAATTGTTCTTTAATTTTGTATGTTATATAGAATTTTTACAATTAAAATCACAATTCTGCATTATCTTTTTTATGGTCTTGCCTGTGCTAGCGGTTTTTATTGTATTAGGTCGAGTGATTTTCTAACAAAAGCATGTTATTTTTTGTATTACCTTTTCTTGTATAATAATTTATTACAATGTTTCTAACTTATGAATTGTGATTGATAAATGTTTCAGTTAATTGTTTACGATTAAAACATTAATGAGTTTTTGATAAGCATTTTACTGCTTTCGTTGAAAACAAAATGGAGTTTTTTTTCTACATTGTTATTTGATAGCATGATATCTAAAATGTATCAAACCTCCCTAAATATATGGTTCTCGAATTAATTATAGGAATTTCTAAACTGAAATTTTAATCTCTCTAAAAGCATAATTAATTTATGATAAAAGAAATAATAATTTATTGCTTTGTAGCTAATTATAATATAAAAGTTATTTTCTGATTTTAATAATTACCAAATATAATTTTATCTATGTTTACACT